TCTCCTGAGGTGATGTGGTGGGGGGACAGGGCCCTCACTGAGGTGATGTGGTGGGGGGACAGGGCCCTCACTGAGGTGATGTGGTGTGGGGACAGGGCCATCCCTGAGGCGATGTGGCATGGGGACAGGGCCATCCCTGAGGCGATGTGGTGTGGGGACAGGGCCGTCCCTGAGGCGATGTGGTGGGGGGACAGGGCCCTCACTGGGGCAATGTGGTGTGGGGACAGGGCCGTCCCTGAGGCGATGTGGTGGGGGAACAGGGCCGTTTCCCGGGGAATGTAGTGTGGGGACAGGATTGTCTCTGAGGGTTTGTGGTATGGGGACAAGGCTGCTCCACAAAGGGGGGATGGCATCAGGACAGTTCCCCAAAGGGAGGTATGGTTTGAGGAGAGGACTGCTTCTTGGGGAGTTGAGGATGAGGCAGTTGGGGTTCAGCTGCTTCCCAGCGTTGCTGTTGAGGGGCAGGTAAGTCCTTCACCACAGATATGGGAGCACCAGGGATATCAGGGCAGGGATTTTACTGGGGGGGACACGACACGGGACAGACATAATGCTGTTCTTGCAAGTGAGATGTCGGGCGGGGTAGTGCAGTAACTTCTTTTCCTACTCTGGTGTCCCTTGCCTGGATCCTGGCAACACAGAGGTGATTTTATAGATGTTATTGGGTTTCCATCTTCTTAGATGCATCCCTAGAGAGATGCATAGATGCTACATTACTGGGAAGTAGCTAATTACCATTTTCTGATGGTGTAGGGGAGCAGTTTCATAGGGTGAATCAGTAGGAAAAGAATTCCAGAGTCTTGCTGCTGTTTCTGCATCCTCGGTGCTTTAGGACATGGTCCTCTCGGCTGACCTGATTACTTTACATTTGTGATTAATGTTTGTTTTCCTGACTAGCCCTAAATGAAGTCTACAACATCTGTGTGTTATTCTGCTTTTTTCACATCACCACAGACAGCAGCGTAGTATCTGTATAAGTATCTTAGACATATACAGGAAAGCCTTTTATTTTTAAATATGTAAAATTTGAGCAGAGATTGAGGTGCAGCCCTCATGTAATAGTAATAATCTTAGCTGACTGAGTAGTTGGGATGTGCATATATCCTGAGCTAACATAATGGTAGGCTTGGCAGGAAGTAAAACCTCAAAGAAGGCGGGATTTGATCCTGTTCGGTGCTTTGCTACAAGCATTGCAAGGGCCATTAGCTTTGATGTCTAACTGCACCCTGCTGGTGGGCCTGACCCACGAGTTTCCCCAGAAGTGATTCAGGAGTGATTCAGAGGTTAAGGTGTAGTTAAAAGAAACACACTTGTTTATAGTGTATATTAACTGACATTGGCTGAACTGATGCGTGATCTGTCCTGATCTAAGCTTTCTCCCTGGAATTACAAGTAAATACATGGACTTTTGACTATTTTAAAATTACTTTTATCATGTGTTTTGTTCTTACATTTGGGTTTTTTTTAACATCTGATAATATATTGTATCAAAAGATTATATAAACTGCACTCGCTGAGGAATAAAACCTACTTCCCAAAGGGTAGTAAGCTGTGCTAGGCCTGTGCAGGTGGGCCAGGTCGAAAGGTGGGATAATACCACGGTTGTTCTCCTAGCGAATGAGAGAACGGACATCTTAGGGCTTGAGAACATTTGCTCAGGAAGTAGTGAGAAATGTAACTCCTCCTGTGATCGGATTAGTGGGAGACAGAACAACTTAACAGATGTTGCAGATCTAGTGAGGGAACTTATGAAACGCAGGGATAAGCAATGGAATCCATGTACGTGAATGCAAAAGAAGCAAGTGGGGAATAAGGACTGTGAATCACTGGGGAAGAGTGCATAAGGCAACGAAAGAAATCTGGGAGAAGTATGGGCAAAAATACATGAAGCAGAGAAAGTACTAAGAAAATCCATAAGATGAAGAAGGAAAACAAAACTAGGAAAAAGACTTTCTTTCTCCAGGACTTCAGGAATAGTCAATTCTTTCCTGAACAGGAAAGATGAAACCGTATTAGCAATATTTTATGCATCATGACATCATTTCAGTATGCACACTTCTGCTTATATATGCACATATATATATATATATATGTACTTCTTTCCCCTGCTGTAGAATTAATGATGTTAATCATGGCTGCTGTAGAGTAATTAAGAGGTAATACTCCAGGCTAAGTGTTAGAAAACAGGGAAATAAGCCAGCTTGGATGAGACTGCTGTGATGGAATGGAATGAAGAGAGTCAAGAGAGTCAACAGTGTCACAGTTCTGTTCTGAATTCTTAGGGACTCATAGGATTACTTTTTGTTTAAAATTACTCAATAGATAAACCATTATCAGGTGAAAAAATAAGGTAAGAAGGACCCTTCAATATTCTGTAGAGAGATATGTTCAGTAGTCTGGGCAATTCACTTAGCTTTAGATACCTTTTTTGTCAAATAGATGTAAGTCTTACCTACCTCCTGAAGGCATTTTGGTGCCTTTTGAAACAGGAGAAGCATAATTTATTTCAAAAGCAGAGGCTTACATTTCTTCCTATGTCTGTTGATAACAGAGCAGAAAATGCACGGATATTTTCCCTCTGTGGATAGGAATAGGACACTGTCCCTTTCCCCTTTGCATACCAGGGCATACCACCCTCTGACAGTTTAGGCTTTTTCTTAAATCTTGGTTTATCCTTGTCGATGCCTAAAACCCCTTTGTTATCTTCCAGAAGCTTTGGTCATCACTGTGGAATGCCTGGTATGAGAAGGCAGAGCGTCAGGGTAGAGAGAGGATCCTTGCTGGACTGCTGTAATCATGAAGGCAGTGATTTTAATTGTCCTAATCATCTTCACTTTGCTTAAAGGTGACCTCTGGATGGGTTACCAGGATACAAACTCTAATATATGCTTTGGTTTTGTTTTCTTCTGTGCAGAGAAGTTGCAGCTAGAACTGTGCCTGTGGTTTCCATTTGCCTGTATTTTTCCTGTTTGATCATTGGCAGATGGTGACCCTGTTAGTTTTGAAGCAGCTCGATACACTAGTTTCTTAGCAATTCAGTGAAGGTTTGTTTCCTTTGAATAGTTGAGATCTGTGTACTCATTAACGCTGTCAAAATGAATCAGTGTATTGCAAGCTGCTCCCCTCTAAAACCACAACGCGTTCTTTTTGGAATTGCACTGCGTTCACGTCAAAACAAGTGGAGTACTAATGTCTGATGCTGTGCTCAAAGAAATAAAAACTTCAGTGTTTTAATTCTAAGCATTATTTATTCCTGGCAATATTTTTTTTAATATTAATAGATCGCCAGAGAGCCAAATGCTTAAACATCTGGAAATGACAACGTTAGAGATGTTGTAGTGTTTTCTATGCATTCAGTCCTGGTTTTCATTACATGGTACAAGATTCTTTCAAGTTACATAACTGCGTGCTTTTTTTATATACGATAATCACTTTTTTTCTCCTTAAATGCATAGTATCTTCTTGAGATGTACACGATGATATATTTCAGAGTAGAAGGCATTTAATAGGAAGAATACAAAATAAGTCATAGTACGTCCAAGATGGAATAATTGGAGCCTAAAGCAAAAGAGGAAATTTTGTTGACATGTCTGAACTACTTAGGATGTAGCTTCATAGTCAGTTTAAACAAACCAAACCCCTGACTTCCCCTGGAGAAGGAGGTTTCACCTTATCTTTCACTCCTAATTGCATCTTCCTTCTTTCTGCTGGTGCTGTTTTGTTTTTTATCGGTTATTTAGTTTTCAGCTGGAAAAAGATCTGACAACTGAATAGTTCAGTTCTGCTACAAATTTACAGAGTGTTCCTGTGCAGGTTATTTAATCTCTTTGGCATCCAGAAATTAAGATAATTCTTACTAACTTCCTGCTTGGAAGAGGTAGGATTGTAAGGATTTTGTGGTTAATGCTTATTCAATGCTCTGTTCAACGTAGTACATGATTCTTCATTGGCAATAACCAAATTGTCCCTAGTTTTCGTCTTTGGTAGCGGGTGTTATCACGGAAGATAAACCTCTCTATTTTGAGGGAAGTGCAGCAAGTTACTTGTCATTGCTGAGGCAACACTTAGATAGTACACTGTTTAAAACAGAAGAAGGTCCAAGTCACAGAATCGCCATCATAATTTCAAATAGTCCCAGATCCTCACTTCCTGGATTGAGGGATTTGGTTTGCTGTATTACCGAGTAGCATTTAATTGTGAACTTCTTCCAACTTAAAATTTTCATACTTCTCGTCTGATCTAAGGTTTTCTGACCCTGGAGCTCTGATGTGGGTCGTCTTATTTAAAATCAGGTAGTCCTTGTCTGGAAAGAAGATGGGGAGGAAATACTGTTCTGACAAAGCACGGCACTCTGCAGGAACTGCTGTTCTAACAAAGCATGGCGCCCAGTGCTGTGAGACAGCTGGGACTTGCAACACCAGTTATTGTCTGTTTGAAAAACAACAATCCCCTCTCTAAAGACTAAATTCAACGAAGCTAAAGCAACCTGATCCCCTACCAACATCCTCCGTCCATACTTCTTGTTCTTTTGCAGGCTGAGTTCTGGCTCTCTAGAACTTTGTAACAGAAATACTAGGATTGGTATGGATCAATTATGCATGGGAATATGTGTGTATGAAAGCACCAGAGGAAACAGCAGAGCAAAGGTTCAAAGAATGGCCTGTATTGATAACCAAGGACACAACTGACAGCAATAAAACTGATAAACCCTGGGGAATGCATTGTTTACATCAAGAGGAGAAGGTCTGTGCTCTGATAAGGTCACATCACAGTTGACTTGTTAGGAGAAAAACTGCAGTCTGATAACAGGAAGATGGTAACGAGGTTACCCTACATTGTGAGCGCCATTCCTCTTCTTGCTATCCCCACAGGAAAACAGACCATAGCCATAAAGATGTCCTTGCCTTTGTTTCCTCATTTTGGGTGGCAGCCTTGCCTAAAATTCATGGAGGATGAAGCAAGAAAGATACTGAGGCAAAAGATTATGCCATAATAATAGGTGGTTCTTGAAAAATCTACCTAAAAACTAGTTGGTTGCTGCCAGTCAAGAGGAAGCAAAGAGGCACAGTAAAGATTCAACAGCAAACATTCATTGTCCTCCATGTCGGGCCAAAGTGATCTTGGTCAGACTGCTAGGGCAGCCTGTAAGTATGTGGGTATGTCGGTGTGAGTGAGCAGAATCAACTTACTCGTGAAGTTAAATAAAATACAATAACCTCCCTCTTCCATAAGGTCTTAAACTGAGTTTGTTTTGTTGGTTTTTTTTTCACTAAATCCTACAAATCTTGACTTCTTCTTGGATCCTACAGGGAAGAAATTCCGATGGTGCACCCTTTCTGACCTGGAACAGAGAAAGTGTGCTGAACTGTCCAAAGCACTTACGGCTGTGCTGCCCCTTGCTACTGTCAATTCGTTTGCTAGGATTTCTTGCATCAGAGCCCACAATACACATGACTGCATTGATAAAATCAGGGTGAGTTCACAGAGATTTTTAGAACTGATTTTGGGTCCAAATCCTCTTTTGAAGAAGTAACTGGTAAAGAGAATCCATGGGAGAATAAAATGATACTGAAATGATGGTATTGCATATATGACAAAGTACACAGTAGCTTGAGAGGCAAGAATGAAAACCCATGAGCATTCCACTAGATGTACTATTTTACCCCAGCTAATGTCCTTGCACTCTCCAGGAAAGAAGTAAAAAGCTGCTTGGAAATAAATGGACAAACCCAAACTACTAAATCAAAACTTGCTCAGAGCATTCCCCTTGCTTGAGGGCTTTGATCCTACTCTGCCTCTAGCAAATATTTTCTTTTCCCTTTCTTCCCTGCTATTTTTAGCCCCCAGTGAGTCTTTTCTGAATTAAAGAACAAAGTCTTTTTTCATATAAAAATCTTTGATTTGAATAAAATGAGACATCAGACCTTCTGTAAGTGTCAGCTCTTGTAACTGACCACTTCTGAAATTAAATTTTCGTAATGCTGTATGCTTTGAAAAAAAATCAGTAACGAAACAGGAAGATAAGCATGTGCTATAGAATAATTTCATTAAGATACCTAAAACTTGATTCAGACAGAGAATTTCAGTTTCCATTTTCATTCAGTCTCAGTTGCCTTCAATGGAGTCCAAATCTGACCTGGAAACCAAAACAAAGAAAACCTTTCTTTTTGGTTCAGGGAATAATTTATTTTATGTTTTCATTCTGTCCTGCGTCCCTTGTTATTAGACTTCAGTTCCACTTTCCAGGTTATGGAAAGATTATAGCCAGGAGAACTCTGAGGATTTGGGGCCTTGGGGTAGCAGTAGGAGGAAATAGGGGTTGCCTTTTTCTTCAGTTGGCATCAGAATTGTATTTTTGGAATGGAAGGCCCAAAGAGGAGGTGAGAAAGGATGTTACTGGATAAGAACTGGTATTTTTTGAAGGTAACTCAGCCTTCATTGCAAACATTTCACCATGCTTAGTAGCAGGGATTCAATTACAAACAAAGCAAATGCTTGTAAAAATCACTGGTTGCTGCTTCTCAGGCAGAAACTCTGCTCTTGGAGCTGCTCTGTTTCCCTGTAAACACACTTGTTTTGAAGGTTTTGCTGTTGTTTTTAAGGTGAATAAAGCAGATGCTGCCTCCTTGGATGCTGGAGATGTTTACTCAGCTGTAAAGCTATATGGTTTGACAGTGGTGGCAAAGGAGATCTATGATCAAGGTAGGTTCATAAAGCAAAAGAATAAGCTGCACTTCTGATTTGGCTAATAAATTGCTGTGCAGGGAAAGGCAAAGCTCAAGAATTCTTGGAAAAACATCTATATGTTTTCATTAACTGTAGAGGAGCGTGGAGGTGACTAACAACTGTTTCTAAAGTACTTAGTGATGATGAATAAAATACCAGTGGTGCTTTGTCGCTAGTAGCCTTTCTGCTGGTGGTACTGCCACTATGACAAACTGTCTGTATCTGCCCCTGCCTGCAGCACTAGTGTACTGCAGTTCTACATCTTGTAGGGAATAAGAAGGGGTTTATTCCATCTGTGTCAATTATACCGTGCTCTTTACTAGTGTAACTGAACATTTACTAGCGGTTCTTTAAGAGATTAGCTTCTCTCATGAATTAATTCTCTCCTTCTCACCCTAAAGAGGCAAGAATGTAAGGTGGAGAATCTTGTTATGGTAAGATTCCTCTTCATTCCTGGCAGACCGGAACAGTCTGTGCAATGAATGATTTATAAGGCAAGAATAAAGTCTGAGCCGAAATCAAGCACACAGTAGAAAATACTTGGGGGACGTGAACCTGAGAAGGGAGCCAAATTAGCAGATGGATGTAGGAAGAGACTAATAAGGGGACAGTATAAGAACAGACTTGAATTTTGTTTTGGCTGAAGAACCATGACATCATAGTGGAATTGATATGTTTCACGTGGTAAGTATGTTCTGAGGATAAGGTGTTCTTTCCATTACAGTACCTAAACAGTGTGATACAAGTGTTCAAAATTCTTGAGAAGCAATTGCATTGGAGGATGGAGCTGGATGATTTTGTAAGCCTTTTCCACCAGATTTTTACGTTCTTGCTTTGCACATCACTTGCATTGTTCAGTTTGACAAGGTGCCATGTAGCCAGTGTACGGTAAAGTTCCTGGCATGAGTACCTATGTTTCATATGCCTAAGACTTTTTTTTTTCCTTAGCCATGTTGACAGAAGTAGTTGAACTCCTGTACACAGATGGAAGCTGCAGAATTGGGAGTTATTTCTGTTACATATTTTGTCCTGTCGCAGGAAGTTGTGTTTTTGCTGTGGCCATTGCCAGACGAGGAACTCTGGATATCCAGAGGCTACGAGGTGCGCGCAGCTGCCACAATGGAGCCAGATGGACATCAGGCTGGAATATTCCACTTGGCTTTCTCCTGGCAAGAAATGATCTTTCCTGGGATGAGGCGCAACCTCTGAGCCAAGGTGGGTGATGGGAGCCGCAGGGCTATGTGTCTGCCCTCAGCAAAAGGGAGTGAAATGCAAGCAGATGTAGAATGAACGGAGCTATGTGGAAACCGAAGGGCTTTGTGGATGAGATATCCTCTTGGAGTGTTTTTGATACTGGCTCTTAGCTCTCCTCAGAACTTTTCTAGTGATCTCAAAGGAGCAGAATTGTTACCAAAACAGAAAATGTTTGTCTTCTGTATGCAACAAGGAATAAATCTTTGCCATATCTAGCCAGCACAAGGATGGTTTCAACCAAGCAAAATTTGATCACTCTGTTTCCAGAAAATGTTTCAAATTTGAAGTTTAGACAATGAAGCTGCATTTGTTGATGGGTTTATTTATTTTTTAAAGCACCATAGTCCTAGTTGTGCCCACGTTATCTTTGGCCCCTTCCATTTTTTCCCATTTGACTTTTTTTATTTCTTTTTTTTTTGCCCCCCTACATCTGCAGTAATCAGTGAGTATTTCAATGCAAGTTGCATCCCTGGGGTTGGTGTTGCTGCTCCTCGACTGTGTGCTCTCTGCCAAGGCCAAAAATCCTATGTCAGAGACAAGAACCACTTCTGTGAGACAAGCAGTAACGAACCCTTCTATGACTCTGAGGGAGCCTTCAGGTGAGCTCTGTGACACTTGCACTGAATTTACCTTCGGGGAAAAAGAACTTGTGAGGGAGGAAAAGCCAGGCGACAGGTTAATAGGATGACATTTGCCTTCCTGCAGGTGCTTGAAGAATGGAGTGGCGGATGTTGCCTTTTTAGATCATCTAGCAATTATGAGTGCTACAGGTAATCCTGAAAACTTGGATTCCTTTTAACCTCTGGCTGTGCTCTTTCCTGCATGGGAGTTTGGGGGATATGCCTATATTTTTGTTGTTTCCAGGGAAAATTCAATCCCTGCAAGCAGTTCAGTGGTATTTCTTGGCTTTCCACACAAGTCAGAAGGAAACAGAAAAGGAAAGAGTAAGTGAGCAATAACTGCTCACAGGAGATTCTTAGAAGGGGAGCAGACAGATGTTTTTATACAGGTGATTTCTTTAGCCTAAAGTCTCTGACGCAGCTCAGTATTTGCATTGCCTGAGTTATAAGATTCCTTTCAAAATTCAGTGTGTTGAGCTGCTAAAATGTGCAGTTCCCGTCTACCTGTTTTGTATTTTTAAACTCAGTCGAGCTCTGTATTGATGTTTTTGAAGGTGGTTAGCAGTAGTATTTGCAGGTAAGTATTTTTAAACAAACGTATTTACAGGGGTACAGTTTAAAGAGTATTTTGGCTGAGGTCCCCTCTTTGTTAAGAGAAGAGCATATCAAAGACAACTTTCCCAAGGGTGCTCGGTACACTGTGCTGCTTGCCTAACCTTTGAGCAACCTCCCCTGAAAAACGTTTTACCTTCCATCTCTGTGCCTGCTGCCAAGACACATCTCGCTTCATAGATTCGTGAGTGTCCTGTTGTTTCAGAGTCAGAACAACGGGAATATGAACTCTTATGTCCTGACGGGACTACAGCTGAGCTGACTGAATACAGCACCTGTAACTTGGGCAAAGGGCCTGGCCGTGGTATCATCACCCGCCACAACTTCCAGAAGATTACCAACAAATTTCTTACCATGATCCAAGTGAGTGGATATTATGAGCTGTATATCTCCAGACACAGGCTTTTCTTCCATCTTTGTGTGGAGATTACCACCCAGCTTGCCTTCTTTCTTGAGAATTTTATAGTTCGTGTGAAAAAGGACTAAAAATTCGTTGATCTGGGGAAGGATCCTGCACTGGCTTCTGGAAGAAGGTTTCACTTCTCTCTAAAGTGTTCTTCTGTAGAAGGGTGGGAATAAATAAGTAAAGAAGGGGAAGATGCCATAACACCCAAACTGAAAAATGGCTAATGGTGTTCATCCTGCCCCGGAACTTACGTGAATTCGTATGTAGCTTAGGGCGACGCATAGGTTCAGGCAGGTTCACCTTTGTTCCTCTCTTTTTCTCAACTTACTTACAAATACTATCTGTTACCTTGACATCCAGGAATCTATTTGAAGCTGAACCTGAAATGCATATTTAAATGCAAATTTAAAGAATTTATGAAGCTATCTAGCCCTTAAAATAGCCCAGCGAACAGTGAATAATTCAACCCAGTGGGCTGGGTTGTACTGTCACACAGACGCTGGTAGACAGCAGTTGTACAAAATCTCTTCTTTATTGAGAGATCTTCATATGCCTTTGTCAGTGCGCTTATTACACAAGATATCTTGCACCCCTTTACTGCACTGATCTTTATCACAAATGTTTCTCACTCAGCTGTACTCCCTCAGCTGCCATTCCGGGGTAGGAGACATTGAGCACAGCCCAATAAATCGGAATAACTAAGATGGGAAAAAAGTCTTCAAAAAAGTGAATCATGTAACGCTTTTAGGACTGGAACCATCCACTCACTGCAGTAACTGTGGGCTTTGTCCCAGTGTGATGGAACCGAGTGCTGTATTACAAACTATTGATATGAAGAGAGGGGAGGATGAGGCTGCCTGTTACTGGAAGGATGAGCAGATTTGTTGCAATTAAAAGTGTTTGTTCTTGTCCTAGCGCCTCTTTGGGCGACAAGGAAAGGAAAGAGCCAGGTTTGAACTCTTCACTTCAGCACCCTTTGGGGGGAAGAACCTGCTGTTCCAGGATGCCACTCAGCACCTGCAGCTTCTTGAGGAGCAGCTAGAAATTGCCTATGTCCTTGGTCTGGATTATGTAGCTCTCCTTAAGGGACTAGGCCATGAAGGTGAGAAGCCTTCCAAAGAACTGTAGCTAAGGAAAGAGAAGAAAAAGTTCTCTTTCTGTGTTATTCCTCCCTGCCAGGCACAAGTGCATAGACCTAAATGTCTCTTTTAACAAAGAACAGATTGGTGCATAGGTGACATGATCTCACATGTGCTCCTTCCTTCTAATGCAGGAAGCTCTTTGGACAACAGTGTTGTGCGCTGGTGCTGCATCAGTGACGCTGAGCTTCGCAAATGTGAGGAGTGGGCACTGAACATCAAATCCGACCCATTAGTCTGTGTCCAAGCAACGTCCATGACCAAATGCATTGAAATGATCAAGGTAGGAGACTCCCTCTGGTCAGAGTATACGATAAGACCGCACAGGGTGTGTATGTCTTTGTCTGAGCTGAGCAAGAGGAAAACCAGCTTGTACACTAGAGGAACCAGTGCAAATGAGAGGGAATTTATGCAGGGGAATTTCCAGCCAGTGGGGAAGTACAGCTGTTTGGTTACACAAATCATGCAAATCCTCTTTTTGTTATTTTCTGTGATGCTGTTGGCAGAGTAGTGAGGCTGATGCAGTCACCCTGGACGCAACACATGTCTACATTGCAGGGAGGTGTGGATTGGTGCCTGTAGCTGCAGAATGTTATGGTAAGTTCTCGTGTGACCTTAGCATATGGCAGGGAATCAAAAAAGTACCATTATATAACCATATAGTTAAATGTCCACAGTTTGTGATGTTTTGTGATGGAAGCAGGAATCAATATATATGTCTGAGTACTCTTCCCAGCTCTTCCACTAACTGGCTTTAGCATTTGGTCTGGCTGTTTATTATATCTTCCGTAAAAGGGACAGAGGAGCTGACATGGCTCAAGAGGATCGCAAGGTTTTTGACGGGGTGCTGCCATGCAATAGGAATGACAGCAGTCGCAAGGTCCTTAATGGTTGTCTCTCCTCTCCAGGGGGAGATTGTGCCCCAGCTGCTAAGAGCATGGAGGAAACAGGGAAACTGATTCATCTTAAGCGCAAAGGTAACAGGACAACTTTGAGAAGGCAAAAGGTTTAGATTTTCCTGAGGCTGCCTCTAGGATTTATGTAGGAATGTATTTGCATGTTGGTTTGGGAAAGAAATTGCTGTGCATGTTCAGTAGGAGCTTTACAGATAATGCCGAGCAGCTAGGACAAGAGCTTTGTGGCTAAGCAAAGAATGCAGATCCTCTCCTGTAACTGAAGATATCGTGACAGGATGAGAGAGGGAAGAGGGGGGCTGTACCTGTCTGGAATACTTAACTGCCTTAGTGTAACTGGTTGTTGTCATTGTTTTACAGCACTGCCACCAGTTTATGCTGTTGCCCTAGCTAAGAAAAATGCCAAACAGATTAACATCCGCAACCTTAGGGGAAGGCGATCCTGCCACAGTCACCTGTACAGTCCTGGAGGGTGGTTACTGCTTTCCAGATACACAGTGGGAGCTCTGGAGAATGACACTGCGAACTGTGACACTGGCTCTGGTAAGGGCTGCTCGGGGCTCCTGTTGACTAGACCACGGAAATCTGAAGCCCCAAATTTGGGAGTTAAATGGAGATGGGGCCATGAGGATTTGACCAGCAAGCGATGACTGCAGTCTTAGAGGGTGTGGAAGCAGCTCCTCCTATCTGACTATGTGTGATTCTTCACGCTATGTAGCCCTCTCCTTGCTAGCTGTTGGGATGGAATTCCATTCCTGTCTTTCCCCATGCGTGAAGAGGCTTTGGAATACCTTGCCCTAATCTCACCTCAGTTTTCTCTACTCAGTTTATCAGAATTACTTTTGGAAGGGCTGCATGCCGGGAGCAGATGGAAACCTGTGCAAGGTGTGCATTGGAGACGGTGAGGTGGAAGGGGCTCGAGTATCCAGCAGATGTGCTGCAAGTCATAACGAGCGTTACTATGGCAACATGGGAGCACTCAGGTAGGCCTTTTGTCAGAGTCTGAAATGCAGAGCAATAGCCAGAACTGACTATTATTATTATTCTGCTGAGGGTTTTCTCTGGAGTTCTTTGTTAAGCAACCGGCTGTATGCTAGCATGTGTTTTGTTTTGGCTGCAGTTGCTATGGGATGTTCAGCTGATTTAAGAGAGTCATGAAACCATTTCCAGAGCAAGACAATGCTTCCAAACATGTAAGGCTTAGGCATTGGTACTGACTCGTTAAAGAGCAGGGCTGAAAGGTAGTTAGAAGGTCAGAGAGCAGAGGTAAGAAGCAGCGTAGGGTACAGGAGGTAATTAAAGAGACTGGAGATACTAAAAAAACCATAGTTGGAGCAGAGGCAGAGAAGAGTATTAAAGGTGAAAGCACTCGTATAGAATATATAAAATGCATTTAGTTGAATTACATTCTCTTTCCTGGCTAGGCACAGGTGAGGCTGCACGGGCATTGTGCCACAACTTTGACTTGGGAGCTGCTTTAAGGGATGAAAGGAATTGTCTTATCAAATAGGTGAACATTGTCCACCAAGGTCTATACTGACATCACTGGCTTGTTCCACGTAACCACCAAGTAATTACAGATGAGGGGGATACTTCCAGCTACTCCTGGTTTAGCTTCAGGTGACTGTCCAAACGTCAGTCATCATGTAGTGGTTGTCTCTGATAACTTCTTGGGTTTTTTTCCTGCACTAGGTGTCTAGTTGGCAATCCCAGTGGAAGAAGCTTTGGAGATGTAGCTTTCCTGGAACACTCTAACCTACTCCAGAACATACAGAGTGAGATGAGATTCTTTTTTCCTTTGAGAATGTTCATTGGCGTCAGTTACTTCCCACACAGTGACTGTCACTCGTGAGGATCAGCTTTTACAGGTTTAATCTAGGTCCATGAAGTTGTGTTTGTAACTGGAAAATTGCAAGAACCTTCCTGCACGTAGGTGTTCCAGTAAAGCTCGAGGTTCAGATACTGTTCAGTTTTAGAGAGGAAAGAGGAGGAATCACTGAGTGCAAAGATCAAGGTGTGTGTTGGGGGGTAATCATCCTTGGAGACTGCACTCATTTTTGGAAAGCTTAAAGCTTTAAAGAGCAAGTGACTTTTCCCACCAGGCTTTCTCCCATACGCAGCCATAATGCATGTACCTGTTGTTTTTAATCAGAGTTTCAAGAATGCAAATGGCAGATAAGGGCAATGCTGTGGGCTGTTGGTGCTGGGAGATGTTCCGTGGCTTCATCGTGACACGGCAACTGCCTCATGTTGTTTCACAGGCACTTAGGGGATAAACAGCCCAAGTAGCTTAATAGGTAAAAATACTGCAAATTATTCTGCCTTTCACAGCTTCTAAAACAACATTGTTACTGCACTGACAAATGTTTAAATTCCTCTGGGAAATAGTGATCTTTGCAACAGCCTAGCAATTGGATTTTGTTGATGAAAATGCTTTTGGTTACAGTAGCTTAAATCCCCTTGATTTCTTAAATTATGCCTACCGCTCTAACAGCCAAAATACGCTGCCTTTTCATAGAGGCGAAGAGAACAGGAACCCCCATTTTGTTCAGCCTGATGAAGCACACTGAAATTCTAATTTAGGCAATTTCAGTAACAGAAGAGACTTTTCTAAGAGAGGAGTCTCTCTAAAATCAAGTGGGCATAGAAGGGCCTGGAAACCCACAGGAATTCATGCAGCAATGAGCAGTTTGTTTGGGGAAGCAAAGGACGTGCAGGCTGAATTGCTTTGTTTTCAGAAAGCAATCTGATTACAGATGAAGATGAGGCATAATAAGCTGTTCGTATGCCTCGATGTTACTCTAGTTTTCAGTTGATAGGTGCAGCTTAAGTTCACTGACCTGTTTCCTCAGTGAAAACACTACCCTGTTCCTAATGAATGATCAGATAGCATGCTGCATTTGTTTTGAACATATTGACTAAACTGCTTCCTCTCAATTTTTAGCATTTTGCACGAGATTCACCCTGTCTTCTGCTTTCATTCTTTAAAAGGTTTTCCTTTGACTTCATCTTCTTTTCAGATCTGGACAGCTCTGGTTGGGCAAAAGGTTATACCCCTCTTGACTTTGAACTCTTGTGTGCGGATGGAACGCGCGCTGCAGTCACAGAATGGGGGGGCTGTAACCTTGGCCCCGTTCCCCCCAGCACAGTCATGACTCGACCAGTCACTGTCACTAAAATCCATGATTTTCTAATGAAATCCCAGGTAAGGCAGATGATAACAGGGAAAAGTTAGCATGTTATCACTTGTTATGTACGACTGCTGAAAACCCTTTCAAGATCAAAAGCTTTATATACTAAACACACAAAGTGCCCTCAGGTCCAATATGAAAGAATTAAGAATGAGCATAGGAGATTGAGAAAATAATTATTTGGATTCTCTAAGGGGACATTTTCGCACTGGTTGCCATTCCACAGTGGTCATACTTTTGCTGAGAAATAAGCCACTGCAAAACGGCATCTTTTTGTACGAGTAAGGACAGCGCTAGGTGAAAAGTGGAACCTTGTTCTGCTAGATGTTGCTGTAAAACTGAGGGTCACTGGCTTAACCTTGCTATTTGTGATCCAAGCTGTGGAACTTATTTCTTTTCTGTTTAGGAATCTCTGGGAAGCAAACTGGACTCTGAATTCCATCTCTTTCAGTCGTGGAAGTATGGTGAAAGCGATCTGCTTTTCAAAGATACTACTCAGTACCTTGTTCATGCAAGTCACATGAGCTACCAGGAAATCCTTGGAGTGTCTTTCTTTCACCTGGCAGAATCAGTGTTTAATTGTACACCTGCAGGTAAAGTCACGTTCTGAATTTCGAGTTAGAGAAAAACGTGAAGCAGGAAGCCTTCTGTGCATAGCTATTGCCCTTTTGTTTAGACTGGAGAACTATGTTCTACATAATCCTGTTAGTAACAATTTTCCAAGGAGTACTGTGTTTGGAGCTCCTTTAGAGCCTCTTACAGCTCCTATCCAAAAGCACTGAAACTGGAGCTTTGCAGGAACAGAATAACCAATACATTTTAGAGCAAATATGAGCTTGTTGAAATGGGACTGGTTTACTCGCACTCTGAAATTTTTCCCTTCAATTCCAAAGATCTGGGAAAAGGGAATATAATGTTCATTTGAATATGCCAAACTTGGGGAAAAGATAAGAAATTTTATATTTAATTCTTGAATTAACCTCAAAATAAGTTAAATAATTTCCTTTGTAAAAAGAGTGCACTAGAGAACTCAAGATCAAAACCTTTATAAACTTAAAGGATGGCTTTTTCATTATTTTCCATTGAAACCTGTATGAAATCTGCATTTAGCTATCACGAAAACTGAAACTGTCTATGAGCCAGGGTTGGGATCTGAAAATCTGTATTGAAGTAAATGAAGATTACACAGTAAGTTAGACCTCTGTGAGTCTAAGTTGTTAAAGAACTGAAGTTCCAAAGGGGAATTTTACCTCTATTCTGCTGTTTTGGTGAATAGTAGGTGAAGAATTTGTTATTTTTAAAGCTGATAGCATCTTTAAGTGTATACTTTGTTACTGGTTTGTAGGCATCTTAGACTTCTGCAAACAGGATATCTGTGCATCCCCATCGAACTGACGGCTAATACAGTCTCTGCAAGGCGCGTACACCACCATCAATGTTGAAAACAAGGACATAGCAAGTCCAACCTATCCAAAGCAATCAGCAAGGAAACCGTCATCTCTAGAAATGTATGCTGAATACTCTGGTCTTTTTTTTGTTTTTTTAAAGCAGATGTTATGTTTATGATAATGCAATGCTGCTCACGTGTCACCCCTTTCTTGTTTGGAGCATGGCAGCATGTGGAACAGCACAGGCCAGCCTGCATAACCCACAGCACAGAACTAGGATCAGCAATTCTGTACAACTGCTATGGAGAAATCAGCATTTTTGTGGAAATAGCAGGGCCAATACCATACAGACTGTCAGGAGCAGCACAGGTTAGTCGGTAGCCGTTTGCCTTGTTTGTCTTATAAACTGTTTCCATGCAAAAAAAGAAAAAAAATCGACTGATATTTTGGTAGTTGCAGCATTGTCCTCCTACAGCCATGATTTCGGGTGCAGCTAGATAGTCCTTGCTGAATACACCTATATGCTATAGGTTGTATATGTAATTGCTGTCAGAATCAGTAATCTTTTCTGCTTTTAATTGGGAAGAATGTATTTGCTTTTTTAACCGAGGATTTATACTAGCAAATCAAAACATTTTTCTCTCACAAATTAATGTATTAAGGCTCTAATAGCCAGAAGAACTGGATGCTTGCCGCCTTAAGGTGAAGGAAAACAATGGATATTCATCCTTGTTAAAAACTCCAACCATTATTTTAGAGTACCTTTGACACTTTGAATCTATGATTGTTTGAACTGTCAAAATATGAATTATCAGTTAAACAGCATTGGTTTTACAAGCAGAAACTGCCTGAACATGATATGAAGTCTTTTGAACAGAATGTATCTTGTATTCATTTTGCCTGTTAGTGGATAAAGATTCAGAGTGGATGGCTCTTTGTGGGCAGGGCTCATTTCAATTTGCAAGGTGTTATCACCTTCTGCTCCCGTGCACCCCGAACCAGGCAAGGTTAAGATTTTTAATTAAAAAAAAAAAAATTAAAAAAATCCTTCACCCAAAACTTTCCAGTCCTTGCTATATATATTGCAGTTGTATTAACCTCAGCTAGCAGTAAATGAGATGCAAATAGTGAAGACAGGCCAGCTGCAATAGAGATAAAGTCAATGTATCTGCCATCTAAAGGAAAAAAACATTAAAAAACCCTCCACCAAAAACAACAAAGTGAGGCAGCAGTAAAGTACTCACGTGTAAAATGCACTGCCAAGGACACCTGGTTTTAAACAGTTCATACCATGCCTGGCTTGTCTTTCCTGTTCTTTGACTTGCAGTCGCCCCTCTCCTCCCGCTTTTCACTTCCTGAGAAAGAAAAAGCTTGCACTCTGACCAGCAGCAAGGCTTGTAGATTCAGCGCATCTCAGCCGAGACTGTTCTCTTTCTCATTTATCCCATTGTTTGACACTGACTAATCAAACAACAGAGAGGATACGAGGCCAAACTCATCTACCTTTCAGAAAGAGAGGGGAGAGGTAAACGGTGAATGAAGCAAGTCCCAACGTGGTAATAGAGCAAAGTCCTCATATACTGTGCTGCAGCCGGCAAGCTGTAGCCCTGAAGAAGCGGGGGAACAGCAGGATGCTTGTTTAGGTCTCTGAGGGGCTCCCTTGCTTTCTTTACTGGAGTTTACACGCCACCTGCGGGACCCGCCTAACACTGCACCTCAATCAGAGAAGGGAGCTAGGAGAACAGAGTGAAGCAGCGCATCTGCCAGCTTCGTTTTGCCAAGAGCAGCACGCAGCTGAATAGCAATAAATTGAAAATCTAGGTTACACACAAGATTTTATGGGTTGGAGGGGTGGGGGAGTTGTTTTCTGGCAGAGACATTACAGATGCTTACTAGGCCTTTCTGACGCTCCTGTGCTTCAGCATTGGTTTAAAAGCACCAGTCTGCTGCCTCGCACAGGCTGTAGGACGTGAGCCACTGCCCAGCTTCAGCTCTGAATCTCTCCGTTCTGAACCTAGCAGGAACTGTCTGTGCTGTCTGGCTCCGGCCACTCTGCTACCTTAAGAGACGGACGCGGCCCCATCACTATGATTAGTAGCTAGGATCATGCCTAAAATCCCCCAGGTCTGCTTCTGTTCCTGTTAAAGTAGGGCTACAGATGAATGAACACGAATTGCTGCTCCATGCCTCACCAGCTGCCCACCCAGTTACTTAACGGTGTCAGTCTCCGGAGATTTGCCTTCTTCCCCCCATGTAAGCAGGACAGCTATGCGTATTTACTGATACAAGCCTAAAGAAGGCCTTAAAAAAACCGAAACGTTCTCAGAAAAATTTATTTCCATAAATTAAAAACACACACAAAAGAAACAGTAAAATTTTAGATTCACACAATATTGAACAGAAACAAAATGCCAAGAGCATGATGGAGGCTAACGGCACAAGTGTACGAATTCTCATTGAGCTATTTGTTAACTTGATAGCATCATATAGACTTTTAATCCACAGTTACCATCCATATTCTAGAAGAGCACCTGGAACATAATATACCAAAGGCCCACCTCAAATCAAATACAATAAATGAGAACTGCTTGTAGAAAATCATATCCGGCAAGCATCAGAACTCAAATGTATGCAGCCACAAGGCCAGCCAGGCAAATGCCGTAACATACATTAAGTAGCCTTAGCTGCTCCAGTCATAGTGTGATGAAAATAAGGGAATTTTATTTTTGGGGGGAAAGTGATCTTTCTACCTCCCATAATCAGCAAATTTAGTGAAGAGCTGCCTGGCTCTGCAAAACTTACTACTAAGAGACAGTATGTGGCAAAAGCTTTGCAATTCTTCGCAAGCTGCTCTAGTCATCATTCTGTGAGGAATACGTACAGTGTCTTTCCATGATGATACAAAGCAAATTCTCACTGGAGTGGGTTCACTTTATGAAAAGGCAGGTGTACATATCCTTCAGCTAGGGAAGTACGCAAGACCCCAAAAGATGCATCCTCTATGCTTTTTTCTTTCAATTATCTGGGACAGAAGCAGCTCGGGGGGGCAAACACCTAGCTTTTGCACAGTCATCACTCCCAACGTACAAGCAGCAGCCACAAGCAACACGGCTGTTCCACGAGTGCTGTAAACAGGAACAGAGGTGGGAAAGGAAAAAAGAAAAAGTGCACAAGCATGACTGACATCTGTATGCTGGAGGGGGGGAAGAGATGCTTTGTCTCAATTAGCTTACATCTCTATCATCGTAGAAATACTAAACCAAAACAGAATAATGCTGTATATTTGGGTTTCCACAAACTAAGGTCTGGGACAAGCTAGGCAACTGCAACATCATTTTGTAACTCCTCTGATTATTGTAAACAAAGGAGAATGGAGTGTTTTCTTTGCTCTGCTCTCTCTGCTGTAGCTGTTAAAAAGAAAGCTAAGAATGTTATTTCAAAGCAATCAGAAACAGGACAGAGCAGGGAAGCAGACCAAAAAAAAAAAAAACCAAACCAAAACAAAAAAACCCCTACAACCCAAAGGAAAAACCCAACGCATTCCATGTTTTGAAGCACATTAGAGGTCTGAACTTTGCCTGGACCCACGTTTCCTCCCTCCCCACCCATATCCTTCTTTCCTTAAAAGCCCCAGTAAGGTTACACCAAAGTTGTGTCACAGCACTAGAAGCCTCCCATATTAATAGAAGATGAATGAATGCTGTGTAACAATCCCATTCTATAGCATAAACGCATAAAAATATACATCTCACTCTTGCTACAGCTTCCAACCAGTCAATAACTGGGCTAATAAACCAGTGT